GACAAAAAAAAAAAATGTATAAATGTTTTGATTCCAATTCGAAAATATTATTAGTTACTATGGATATCACTTTTTTGAATTAAAACTATTTTTTCCATCTCATCTTCAAGGAAAAGAACAAAACAAAGATGTGTCTATCAAGTTTCAGTATTTTCTTCAAACCGAAAACTCCCAAAATCTCCCCAATCTTGATTTTCAACCTGAAAATCCAGTGATATTATATTTGGAGAGAGTGTCGAGTCTTTTAGATATTGAAGTTCTTACAGTGCCATCTCATGATATTTATAATAATGAATAAATGGGGGAAAAAATGGTGATAGTTGTATCATTTGATGTTGTCAACTTGCGTCAAAGGACGACTAAAAAAAATTATCTATGAATCCTTTGCATTGCTCATAATTAGCAAACCCAGGTGACGTCCTTACTAATTCTTTACGTTATGTTCAGTCCCCATCTTCAAATTCTGAACCTAATTTAAAATTGTAGTCTATTGCGTCTAGCACTAAATATTCATTATCTCATTATATGTTATATGATCACCTCTCACCCACCTTTCGTGCATTGACCTCACAATTATTACATATGTAGATTCTTAGAACTGTGCAGAATACTCTAAAAGTTTTTAAGTGAAGGGAGGTTGTTTTCGAGGAGATGAAACAACAACAACAACAACAAAGCCTTAATCCCACTACGTGGGGTCGGCTACATGAATCCTTTTTCTCCATTGCGTCCTATTTAGTGTCATATTTTCATTTAGTTCTAGTAAATTAAGATCATTTTTAATACAATAAGCCCAAGTCTTCCTAGGTCTACCTCTGCCTTTCTTAACACAAGTCGAAATTAAAACATCTACTCTCCTAATCGGATCATCTAATGGTCGACGTTTAATATGACCAAACCATCTAAGACGACTTTCTCTAATTTTGTCTGTCACAGGAGCTACACCAACCCTATCACGAATATATTCATTCCGCATTTTGTCTCTAAGTGTAAAGCCACTCATCCACCTAATCATTCTCATCTCGGCAACACTTAACTTATTATTATGCTTCGCTTTTAAAGGCCAACCTTCAGCGCCATAGAGCATTGCAGGTCTCACCACCATCTTATAAAATTTTCCTTTCAGTCTTAGCCGTACTTTTCTATCACACAAAAGGCCCGAAGCATTCCTCCACTTCAACCAACCAACTTGAATTCTACTATTAACATCCCCATCTATATCACCATTGCTTTGAACAACGGACCCAAGATATCTAAATTGTTCACACCTTTTAATAATTTGATCATCCAAAGTCACACTTCTGTCACTAGAGTTATTACTACTAAAATTACATTCCATGTATTCAGTTTTAGTTCTACTTAAACGAAGGCCTTTAGACTCCAATGTAGACCTCCATAATTCAAGTTTTTCCTGGGCTTTTTCTCTCGTTTTATCCACGAGAAGAATATCATCAGCAAAAAGCATACACCAAGGTACATCCTCTTGTAGATGTCCAGTAAGACCATCCATAACTAAAGCAAAAAGATATGGGCTTAAAGTCGATCCCTGATGTAAACCAACAGAAATAGGAAAATATTTTGCCAATCCTCCTTCAGTTTGAACACAAGTAACAGCTCTAGTATACATATCTTTAATGACTTGAATATAAGTCATATCAAATGGAAGCTCTTAAAAAAATGACACATGATAACTGTCGATTCTTAAAAATTTCGAGGAGATGAAAGCTCTTAAAAAATGGAACTTGAGAAGTGGTGGATATACCTAGAGATAAGATAACTGTCGGATGAAAATAGGTGTTTATAATCAAAACAAATCTGTTGGTTCTTTAGAATGACACATGGTTAGACTGGTTGCTAAGGGACTTACTCAAACTTATGACATTGATTCTTTTGAGACATTCTCTCGATTTGCAAAACTAAACCAGGTAAGAGTACTATTACTTGCAGCTAATCTTGACTAACCCCTAAAACAGTTAGATATAAAGCACACCTTACTCAGTGGGGACTTGGTGGAAGAACTGTATATGGATGCACCTTCAGGATTCTGTAAGAAGTTTGGCTCAAGGTTTGTAGACTAAAAAATTCATATATGTATTCAAATAGTTATCGAGCGCGTGATTTGAAAATAATACACTATTTCTTACAGATCAGGGATATGCTCAAAGGCAAGAAGATCATACAAAACTCTTCAAGCATTCCAAGGATAAGAAGATAGCCATATTAATTGTGTATGTGGATGGTGTAACTCTCATCCGAGACAACCTATATGAAATGAACGGTTAAAGATTTATCTCTCATCAGTTTTGGAGACCAAGGATGATACTGGAGTTAACCCAAAAAATCAATAGAAAAGCAAATTTTATTATTGAGAGCACATATGCAATTACAACCCAAACACACTTGAAAGAGAAAACGACAACATACACGTCACGTAGACACCTCAAAGGTGGATCTCGGGGTGGTTGTGGTGATGGTGGCTGTTAGGGGTTTATAAAGGTTGCAACAAGTTATAGGAGGGGCTTCACTGTGGGGAAACAACGTTACAACAGTGATGGCTTGCTATTCTGGGCGGCAGCAAGCATGAAAGAGCATAAGCAACAAGAGGACAGCAAGGCAAACGGCGGCAAATTGCTGTTTTGGTGGCAGCAGCATGGCAGGCAGGTGGACAACAAGGAAGGACAGGTCAAACAGGAGCAATTTGCTAATTGGGGGTGGCAGCAATTTGCTTGGAAGGTAGGAGAACTGTAGGGGAACAACTGTAGGCTGGTGTTTGGGAATAATGGAAGGCGGTAGGAAGCGATGTAGGAATGATATAAAAGGGGAGAAGGAAGATCATCACCACCTTGGGAGTGAGATACAACCGAAGCACCGCCCTTAGGATACAACCCTCGCAGGGTAAGGAGAGACACTGGCTTCTATCTCAAATAAAATTCACGACAAAACTGACTTCTACAACACATATATAGGAAAAGACTAAATAGGAATGAAGGATGATAGAAAATAAAGCATAAAAAGAAGGAAAACAAGACTTTCAGCCTCTCCTGTCTACGGTCTCCCATGATCGCGTGGGAGTTGCGGCTTGCATACAACATCCAAATGGGAGCACTCCAGAGTCTGATGTATTTTCTTGACATGTAGATTGCTAGATTGAAGAAAGATATTGTGGTTTCTCAACAGAAATATGTTTTTGATCTTCTAAAGCAAACATGGATGAGTGGTTGTAGGCCTGCAGATACTCCATTTGATCCCTACTAGAAACTTTGAGATGAGGAGGGCAATCCAGTCAATACAACTCGATATCAAAAGTTGTAGGAAAGTCGATATACTTGTCACTTACATGGCCAAATATTGCCTTTGTTGTAAGTTTGGCAATTCAATTTTTGCATTCTCCCTATGAGAAACACCGTGAAGCGGTTAACAGGATTCTTAAATACCTAAAAAATACACTAGAAAATAGCTTACTCTTTTAGAAAATCACACAACAAATTTTAGAAGCATACATTGATGCAGATTGGGCAAGCTCATTTGTGGACAAAAGATCGACATCTGGATATTGTACTTGTGTTTGGGGAAATCTGGTCACATGGTGAAGTAAGAGACAAAATGTGATGGCAAGGAAGTATTGGGCTATCGATAATGGAGCATGTGAGATGTTATGGCTGAAGAGAATTCTTGGAGAGCTATAGATTTTGATAAACATGCCAATGAAATTGTATTCTAACAATAAAGCTGCATCAACATTGCATAATAGAAAATCCATTGCAGCATGATTGCATAAGTACGTGGAGATTGACCTACAATTCATAAAAGAGAATATTGATTGTGGAGCTATTTGCATGCCATTTATCTCTCCTGATCAACAAATTGCCGACATTTTTACCAAAGGTTTATTCAAGCCCAATTTGAACTTCGTGTAAGCAAGTTGGGTCTGCTAAATATCTATGCTCCTACTTGAAGGGTGGAGAGGGGGTTCTAAACCTTCTAATTTAGTACTTCCTATAATTTAGAATACATAATTATTGGTATATTATAATTTTTTTTCCTTCTTTTATCATGAGGAGTTAGACTAATTTTATGTCTTTCCCAATGCTCCTCTATTTATCTTGTAATTATTTCATAAGAAATTGAAGAGGAATAATATTTTTTCCTTCAACCAAAATTCATAGTCTCCAAGATGATGATGATGATGATGGGATGGGCTAAGACAACATTTATTGACTTCAAGAATTAGATTTCTAAGTCGATGGATATTTGCTTATGAACAAAACTTTAGCCTAGTAGTTGATACCACCACTTTTATGTTTGATGTTATGGGTTTGAGTTCATTTTCCTCCACTCAGCTGCTATTTTCTTTAAATAATTTAAGAGTGGAATTCATTATTTCTTGTACTAACAAGTTTGTCCCCTTTTATATCCCTTTTTGTATTGTGTCTTGTGCCTCATTTAATATATAATATATGGAGATTAGTTACCATACTCAAGAAAAGAGGCCCAGGAATATTTGCTCTTCTTTATAGCAACTTTTGAATCTAATGTGGATCTTCTACGGATAGTTGTTTTGGAGAATGATTATTAAAATGACAGTATCTGAGAAAGCACTATAATTCTGAATCAAAATCTGCAAGAAAATTTGTATATGCATTAGATTCCGATAACTGAGGAATTATTAAGTGCAAGTAATGGACAGCAATATCGATTAAGATTTTTGCTTTACCATGTTATTGTTGGAATCATCATATATTTGATTTAACCTCATAAAGTTTATGGATTAATTTAATTTTAAAAGGAGAAAGGCATATAGTTTGTATTTTTTTTTAGGCTAGAATATTTTCTTTTGTTTTTGAGTTCAATGCATGTCTAGCACCTTACTAATTTTTAATTGTTACATTGTGTTTGTGGACTCTTTGCATTGTGTGCTTCAATTATGAAATTCAATATTGTTTACTACCCTTTTTCTGCCATTTCACTATTTGTTTTTTTTATATATTCAATCTCCTTAGGTAACTGAAGCTTTAGCTCATGCTGGTCTCGAGTCTTCAAATTTGATTGTGGGGATTGATTTTACAAAAAGCAATGAATGGACAGGTTATGTTATCAGACGATCTTATCTTTGCTTGCTTATCTTTTTCCTTATATTTTAATACAATATTTTCCATATTCTAACTTTAAGACGTTTCTTCTTTTACCAGTTGTTTTAGCCATTTCTGAGACAGCTAGATGGAAAATTGTTCTGTGCAAAATGCAATTTGATACCATTTGTACCAGAACATTTTCTTAATTTTATTTTTGTGCATGTATTGATTTCATTGTCATTTTTTCTATTCTTCAAACATCGACAGTGCTATGTTGTTAAGGCAATGATGAACTATTAGGTAAAATAATTTTTAATTGTTGCAGAGTGTTTTCTTACTTTCAATTGTAGACACCTGTATGATTTAATATCCCATAACAATGTTTTGTATGGCACCCTTTTTAAACCAGGCATGCTTGTGCATAACATTTAGATTAAATGAGCAAAGTTATTTCATAATTTTTCACCATGCCCAATTTGCAATTTTGTAACTTTCCACCTTTTAGTCTGTTCAAATTTTAGTCCTCCATTCTGAAAATCGTTGTGGAATTTACCGGCATAAAACACAATTCTTATGTATTTACGTCATTACATATCTAACACCTAAAAATTCATATTTATTTGCATACCACCTAAATATTTAACATTACATAAAAAAAAATACCACCATCACTATCTTTTTAAAAGTAAAATACACTTTTTCATGCATAAGTTTTTGACACCAAAGCGTTATAAGTTTAACTATTAAACACTAGATGTTTGATATGTAAATGCATAATAATTGTGTGGTATACATGTTTCACTTTCTAAATCTTTATTATCTGCCCTTTATATTAGGAAATATTTCTTTCAACCACAAGAGTCTGCATGACATTGGAGACACTCCAAACCCATATGAGCAGGCTATATCTATTATTGGAAGAACACTATCTGCTTTTGATGAGGATAATCTAATTCCTTGCTTTGGATTTGGAGATGGTTTGTTGCTCTTTTTTTTCCTTCATCTATTAAGATTTATTTTCTCAAGGATTTGATTTATTATTTGCTATTTTTCCTGCAGCATCCACACATGATCAGGAGGTCTTCAGTTTTTATCCTGATGGAAGACCTTGCGATGGTTTTGAGGAAGCACTGCAGCGATATCGAGAAATAGTTTCAAATCTCCGACTTGCAGGTGAGTGATTTTTATTCTGTGGTTGTGGTGTTATTCTTTTTACATATTTAACACCTAAACTTTGATTTTTATATCTAAACCACCCAAATCTTTCATATCACATAAATAATGGAATCATTGTAACTTTTAAAAAGTGAAATAAGCTTTTTCATGCATAGGTAAAGTGGTATGTAAATGGAAGTTTAGGTTTTAGATATGTAAATACATAGGAATTTAATGGCATGTATGTAAATCTTACTTCCTTGTACTAACCAAGTGTTCCCTTGCCTTTCTTATAGGGCCAACATCATTTGCTCCTATTATTGAAACTGCAATAGGCATTGTTGATAGCACTGGCGGTCAATATCATGTTCTTCTAATAATTGCTGATGGACAAGTTGGTCTTCATTTTAATTTTGGAAGATTTACATACATACCACTCAATTCCTATGTATTTACATATCTAACACCTAAACTTCAATTTTTGCATACTACCAACTTACTTATGCATGAAAAGTTGTATTTCACTTTTTAAAAGTTAAAATGGTGGTATTTTTAATGTTATATGAAAGATTTGGGTGTTATAATTGCAAAAATTGATGTTTAGGTGTTAGATACGTAAAAGCATTGGAATTGGGTGGTATGTATGCAAATGCTCCTTATTTTTTTTATAATTTCTTTCCCACTGCAGTCGGTCACTAAAAAGCCTCATGATCCGTTCTTGCGAAAATCTTAATCAGGTGACACGGAGTGTTGATACACGAAATGGCCAGTTAAGCCCACAAGAGAGAGCTACCATAGATGCTATAGTGAAAGCCAGGTAAAATTATTTTTTCAAATTTTGAAATGCTGCATTTCTGCATGTTAGTCAAGTAAATATCTCTCTCTTTGGTAGTAATTATCCTTTGTCAATTGTATTGGTTGGAGTTGGTGATGGCCCATGGGACATGATGCGGGAGTTTGATGATAACATTCCTTCACGGGCATTTGACAATTTTCAGGTTTTTAACTGTATCTACGAATGTTAATTACAAACTTTCATTTGGTGTATTTACATACCTACCACCTAAATCATATGTTTTTACATATCTAACACTTAAACTTTGCTTTTTACATTTATATCACCCAAGTTCATATCACATAAAAAATATCACTATTTTAACTTTGAAAAAGTGAAATATATCTTTTCAAGCATAGGTAAGATGGATATATGAAAAAATTGAATTTTAGGTGTCAGATGTGTAAATACACGAGAATTGAGTGGTATGCATGTAAATTTTCTTTTGTTTTAATAATAAACTGTGCTTTGTTTTCTGCCTTCCAGTTTGTAAATTTCACAGAGATCATGTCCAAAAATATCCCAATCAACAGAAAGGAAACAGATTTCGCCCTTTCTGCTCTCATGGAGATTCCTGCACAATACAAGGCGACATTAGAGCTCCAGCTTTTGGGGTATATGGTTAAATTGCTTGAGAATATATTGCTTGGATTATATATTGGGACATTTACATAAATAACACTCAATTCTTATGCTTTTAAATATCTAACACTGAAACTTTTCTTTTAAAATTTATACCACCCAAATCTTTTATTCCACTTAAAACATACCACTATTTTAACCTTTAAAAAGGTGAATACACCTTTCCATGCACAGATAAAGTGTCATAGGATTTAGATATGTAAATACATAAGAATTGGGTGGCATGCTTGTAAATCTTCCTTTTATATTTGGTTGGCTTAAAGCAAGTCTATTCAAAACATTTTTGTGGTTCTATCATTCTCATTTTCAGTTGCAGGAGGGGGACTCCTCTGCGAGTTTGTCTTCCACCACCGATTAGGAGCTGCGATTCTGTATATAGCAATCCAAGATACTCTAGAGCTAACATCTTTGACCAAGGTGCTGGGTATCATAATTCGGCATACAGCAGTCCGAGATACTCAAGAGCCAGCAGCTTTGACCAAGAAGACACTGGTATTAATAGGGGCACAACTACTGTCCCATCTGAGAGCTCTCTTGGAGATAGAAAGGTATGCTCAATAATTCAATTTTAAATTTTGATTATAATTCCAGAATTTCCTTAACCTAGAATGGCCTTTTCTTCTAGGGAAATACTATTTTGCTCATGAGCTTTAATTTAATTACTTATTGTTTGCCAGAGTGCTTTTGTTTAATTACTTACCCTTCACCACTTACATATTTTTTAGGGAAATTTACATACATACCACACAATACTATTGTATTTACATATCTAACACCCAAAGTTTGATTTTTATGATTATAACACTTTGGTGCCATAAATCTGTACATGAAAAGGTGTGTTTCACTTTAAAAAAAGATAGGTTGTGGTAATTTTGATGTGATGTTAAAGATTTGAGTGACATGGATGAAAATATGAATAAGTATTAGATATGTGAAGGCACAAGAATTGTGTTTTTTTTTTATTTTTTTTTTTGAAAGACATAAGAATTGTGTTGCTTGTATGTAAATGCTACTATTTTTTTAATGATATGTAATTAATTCTTGGTGAGAGTTTCTATCCTTGGAAAACGCTCTATTTAAAATTTTGGCATTTTTGAAACTTAGAAGCGTTCTTACATTTAAGAAAAAGCTTGAAATTAGCTTTATTCATATTAACTTACCAGAGACTTCAGAGATGGAGGGGATGCCCTCGAGAGCTGGCATTGGACTCACAAGGACCCTGGCGAGACCTTTACTACTTAATGAGGGAGAGAGAATTTGGATAAGGAGAGAGCCTGGAGATGAAATTTGGATAACGGCATTTTCATTATCTTTAAAGGTGGCATTGAAATTCTGCGAAAGAGAGGAGACGTGATTATTTTACATTAAAAACAGCACATAGTCTTGGTGTTACGCCAAATTATCTTCATTTTTCTCAAAGCATGCAAAGGATGCTACGTCCTTTGCTTTAAGAATCACAAATTGGGTGATAATGCGGGAGTGCTCCCACTTCGGATGTGGGATGTGAGCAGTGATTCCCCCCGATCAGGAGATGGGAGATAGGCCGAAATAGATTATTTTTTGATTTTTTATGCTTTCTTTTCTAGGGTTTCTCTTCCCCTCGCTGCAATAACCCAGGATAGCAGCCTTGCTGTCTTTTTCCTGCGGACTAGCCACCCAGCCACCTATTTTCCTTATTCCAGCAGCCCGTTCTCACTCCCAGCCGCTTCTCCCTTGCTGCCACCACCTAGAACAACAACACTTCCGGCTCTTCTCCCTTCAACTCCAACCCACTTTCTTCGTTAATGCTGCTTGAGACAGCAAGTAGCTGATTTCTAGCTGCTATTTTTCCACTGATTTCAGCCAGCCAACCCCACTTTTATTCCACCGCAGCCAATCTCAATTTCCCCTTCCTCCTCTTATTTCCATCCACCGCCTCGTCACTCTCCTCCTATGGTCCAATCACCAAATCCAAGCATCACCTTTGGAAACAATTTAGTTGCTTTTACCATTGTATTTCTCTTTCAAGCGTCTTTGGTTGTAATCACATTTTTTTATTCCGTAATAATATTTTCTTTTCTATTATTATTTGGTTAATTTCATTATTTTTTAATATCAGAGCTAATAATCCTAATATTTGTCTTATTCTAGGATTTCTAGTGTTCATCCATACCCAACCTTACCTCCACCCAAAAATTTTTTTCCCACCCTACATTACCCCTAACCATCTCCTTGCACCTACTCACCCCCGAACCCTAATCATGCTGCCATGGAATCAATTGTCAGAACCTTAACAAGAGTTTACTGTGGAAGAGCTATAACGATAGCTCCACTGAGTGCTACAACGACTCAATGATATTGAGGAAATGACCCTTGGTGAGGTTAACGATGAGCATGGTAGCAACATCTTCTAAAGAGAGGAAGGAATGCCTGAATCCATTCCATAGAGATGATTGCAGTGGAGAAGAAGACATTCTACAATGCTTTGGGATACAATATCAAAGGAGATTAAGAGATGAAGTACCTCTTAGAAGATACATATATGAAGTGCTTGTTGGAGTATATAATAATGAAGTGTCTGTTTGAAGGATACATATGCTTAGAAGTGAAAGTAGACATATTAGATTGCGAGGGAGAATGAATCTGGATGATTTTATAGTCTGATTGTAGATCATTGAGAGTATTTTTGAATACAAAGAAGTGTCAGATGTTCGGGAGAGAAATTGTCTACTATCAAGTTGAGCAGGAGCACCTCTTTGTGGTGAGATAACCTGAGGAGGGAGAGAAATAAAGAATGATGAAACAAGATTATTACTTGAGAGAAGATGAAGAGAGTTGTAGCGACCGTAACTACTCCCATAGTATCGTCAAGATCTTTTCTTGAGGCTCTACTATCTGGAAAAGAGGGAGCTACTAGCAAAGTACACCACAAAATTCTTGAAACTTAAGCTGAAATGTGATATGATGGAGCCAATTTAGCACACTATAGTCAGATACTTGGGAGGCTTAAAGCTCGTCGTTGGCAATGTGGTTCAACTACAACCTTATTAGTCCTTGATTGACATTCATACCTTAGCACTGAAGGTGGAGACACAATGAAAGTATAGCAGGTACCTACTGCCGTATAGATAGCCACACACAATTGGAGATATCAGTAGGAGCACACCTAATACAGTTGAGAAATCTGGTCAGGAAAATGATAAAGTTGCTTAGAGTTAGAAGAAGTATGAGAAGAGAAGCATTTCCACTATTGTCTTAATCAGGAAATGTTTTAAATGCCATAGTTTTGGACACATCACTTTCATTTGTCGGACGAGCCATGTGTTCTTCACTAGGTAGGGTGGAGGAAATAAGTGACGAAGAGGCGGTTGAAGAAGTGAGTACTAGTTTCCACCATATGAGGGCTAGATGCTGGAGGTTCGGCAGGTCATTCAGATTGAGCCTTTGAGGGAGTAGCAATGGGTAGTTGCACTGTGAAGGAAATGCATGCAGTCTTATCACTGATGGAGAAAAAGCAAGAATGTGACATTTATACATATGGTGGATAAGTTGAGTCTCATGCCTCAGAGACACTTCTAGATGTACTTCCTGGCATGTTTTAAGGAAGAAGAACAATTAACATTGACAGAAAGTGCCTTGTAGAGTTTTTGATTGGAAATCATTTGCAGGATTCGTTTAGTGTACATGGTGCCCATGGATGTCTGTCATCTGCTATTGGGGAAACCTTGATAATTTGATCACCAGACTCAGCATGGCAGGTATAGGAATGCTTATTTATTCACTAAGAATAAAAAAATGTATGATTCTCTTACCTTCGAAATAGTTCGAGTGATACCAGAGTTAACTCAAACCACAATACAACAAGAACAAGAACAACAAACCTTTATCCCGCTAAGTGGGGTCGGTTACATGAATCTTTTTTCTCTATTGCTTTCTATTGAGTGTTGTATTTTCATTTAGTTCTGTTAATTTTTGAGAATATAGCTGAATACTTTTATTGATAGAAAAAAGGGTATAAATATATATTACAAGACCCAAATAAAAGGAAAGACAAATTAAAAAATTGACCAAGTAATGCATAAATTGGAAACATAAAATAAAGAAAGCAAATAAAAGCTAATAATAACTGCAGTAGTAATTAGCCTAATAATTCTAATGCCCCCCCTTAAATTGAAGCATAGATGTCAATTTTGTTCAACTTGATTTAAAGTCTTCAAATAATGACCGAGGAGGAAGATTTTTGGTAAGGATACTACTAATTGACTATTAGATGAGATAAATAGAATACAAATCTCCCTTGAATCGAGCTTCTCTTTAATGAAGTGTCTGTCAATCTCTATATGCTTGGTCTGATCATGCTAGACCTAATTATGAGAAATGCTAATGGTGGTTTTATTATTACAAAATAGTTGGAGAGGAGCAGAGACCGACATACACAATTCACGAAGTATAATGTGTAACAAGAGAACTTCACAGATACCCAAGGACATGGAACGAAACTTGGCTTCAACACTGCTCCGGGCCACAACCGACTGTTTTTTGCTTTTTCACGTGACAAGGTTTTCCCACACGAATAAGCAATATCCTAAGGTGGATCATCAATCATGGACCAGCTCGACCTAATCCGATTCTGTATAAGCAACAATAGAACGAGAGGTATGGCTTGTGAAAAACAAACCTGAGCCCAATGTACCTTTTAAGAAATGAAGGATCCCGTGGACAGCTTGGAGATGGTGCTCATAAGGATCATGCATGAATTTGACTCACAATACCTACTGCATAACAAATGTCAAGGCGAGTATGAGCGAGGTAAATAAGTTTCCCCACAAGCCATTAGTAGTGAATCTTGTTCACCAAGATTATATTGAGAGCATCAGCTAATTTCTTAGTGAGATCCATTGGGACAACCAGTGGTTTGCATAGGAGAAGGTTATTCTCAGTCAATAATAGATCAAATACATATTTGCACTGTGACAAGTCAATGCCCCAAGATGACCGAGTAACTTTCATGCCAAAAAGTATCGGAGTGATCCTAAGTCATTCATTTCAAATGAAGTAGCAAGATCTTTCAGAGACTTAAATCCTTGTAGATCATCACCTGTGAGTATAATATCTTTGACATAGACAATAAGGATAACAATTTTGTCACTGGAGGAATGCTGAAAGAAGAGAGTATCATCTGATTGGGCCTGAAAAAAATCATGTATTAACACCTTTGTGAACTTGTTGAACCCGACCCTTGGGGATTGCTTCAATCCGTAGAGGGACTTGCGCAGTCGCGACACTTGTCTCCCGGAGAAAGTAGAGTCAAAGCCTGTAGAGAGGCACATGTACACATCCTTTGTGAGATCCCTATTTAGGAAAGCATTCTTGACATCCAGCAGGAGCAAGAGCCAATCCAAATTCACAACAAGAGAAAGTAGGACTCAAATGGTGTTCAATTTAACAACCAGAGCAAATGTCTCTTAATCAACTCTGTATGTTTTTTAGTAACCTTTGACGACTAATAGTGTCTTCTTTCGTTCAAAGGATCCATTGGAGCTGAACCTGGTGCTAAAAATCCAGCGGC